GGAAGGAGAAAAAAAGGAAGGGGTGGATATTATTCAACCACTTGTCCCTCTCCACCCTCCCCCTCACCCACATGCCCCCTGCAGCTCCGTGCTGCTGGTTGTGCTTCGTCCTGATAAGAAGCAGTGACAGTCACGCACACACGCAGCATAGACAAACACGCATGTATAACCGTGCACACAGCGAGGCCCCTCAAGCGGCCTTGGCCTACAATGTGTGGGATGTCCTTCTCAGGAGTGTGTGTGTGTGTTTTCTGCTCAGTGTCGTAGTAACAGCCAGGGTAAACACAGTGTGCCAGAATGTCACGGTCTGGGGCCTTCACACCTCCATCACAAATAACCCTTTCAGCCATGGAGGGAGGGAGGGAGAGAGAGTGTGTGTGTGTGTGTGTGACAGGGAGAGAAAGGAAGAGGGTAAGCATGCGTGTGTGTTCTGGGACTGTTTAAGAATGTGTGGGTAGGCTGTATGCTATGTGTATTGGCTTGGTTAAGGGTGGGAGAGAAGAGAGACAGCGCTTGAGAAAATATATTCATGTGTATTGTTATGCTTTGCTCAGAGTGCAGCCTGTATCAAGCCTCTCTTATTAATGCAGTGTCTAGGGACGATGTGTCATACACTAATATTACATTTGTGTAATTGGCAGCAGACAGCAGAGCTCGAGTGTGAATACGTGAGTGTGTCTACCGGCACAACTGCAGCGATGCTTTGATAAACACAGATGATTAGGTATACTGTGTGCCTGAAGTTTGTAAGAGTTTTTGAGCGTATTAAAAAAAAGGAATAGTTCAACATTATTTGCTTTCTTGCCAAAAAGAGGATCGATACCACTCTCATATATCTGCAGGGTGAATACGATGTTACAGCAAAGCACCCAGATAGCGTAGCTTAGCACAAAGACTTGAAAGAAGAGGAAACAGCCAGCCTTGGATATGTTCAAAGGCAAATAAATCTGCTTACGAGCATCTCTGAAGCTCACTAATTAAAAAAATATATCGCTAACTTGGCAAGAAAGAGAATACGCGAATTGCCCAAAATGTCAAACTATTGCTTTAAAAGTTTTCACGCACACAACCACACAAGAAGCAGGAAGAGGTAGATGGTGGAGGAGAGAGACAGTCCTGAATAGGAGGGCGACATCATTTAACCCGTCGTGCATCCATGCAGAGAGGGGACAGAAGGAGCACGAGGAGTGGAGGGTGTTGAATTTATAAAAAAGAGTGAACATTCCATTGGCACAAATGCAGAAAAGCATTACGTTTATAATATCTACATCCTGACAGAAAGTGGAGTTTGGACATTAATGCAAACCACATCTGGAAGAAGTTTCTACATTCTGAATGTGATGCCCATCACTCTGGACTTAAAACCCCAAATAAACAATACCAGCATTCTTTAAAAACGAAGAAAACCTGTCTGTTGTGTGTTAAGTTAAAACTCAAAATGACAAATAAAAGAAGTGGAGAAAAAAAAGAGGAGAAATGAAATCGAGAGACGGCAAAATGCGACAGCCAGAGAGTTTAGAAAAGGGGGGAAAAAAAGCCCTGCGCCCACAAATCTCAATCAAGTTAACCGCCGCCTTGATTGCTCAAGTGAGACTGAGCCTTGCTTTGCAGCAAAACAAACACGTAAGCATGTCTTAACATAGCTGAGCCCAACCACCCCGAACCCTGCCTGGCACTCATCAAGGTTTTGGCTCAGAATAGCACTTTCTCTTCAGGGGTGTGGAAGGAGAAAGAAGGAGAGAAAAGTGGAAGGAGAAAAGCCAATCAAGTTCCTTAAAAAAGGAGATGAGGGAAAGGAAGAGAGGGAGAACACAATACCTGAAGAAAGGAAGCAAGGAGACTTCCTTCACTCTAGCCTTCCTCTCTCTCCAGCTTTTTTTGTTTTTGTTATTATGATAAGTTACTAACTCATCTGCCGCAATTTTCCACCCGGTCGCTCCTTAATTCGAGAATTTGTTTGTTGTGCCTTTGGAGGCATTGTTGATTCATGCATATTTGATTTGGAAAATGTCACTCATAATATGTATTTCCTCCCCCGCTGACTCCGTCGATACATTTCTTTCCCTCTCTTTCTTCCCTATCTTGATGCCGTTGGTTCACAAAAACAAAACAACACTTCTACCCCTCGGTCGGCTCGTTTGATTGGATTACATTTCTTTGAACTATTTCTTCGCTCGACAATCGCAAAAACACTAACGTATTCCATTCAATGTAATTTGGTCAAACAAATTACAGATTGATGAGACATGGCTGGTTGTGTGAGAGGGGGAACATAAAATAAAGCGGTGGGGGGGGGGGGTCCTTGTCGGCACGCCGACCCTCTGGGTTACCATGGTTACAAAAGATTCAGATACTGTACGAGACGAGAGCGGAAACACTCGAAAGAGGGAAAATAAATGAAGGACGGGGAGGAGGGAATGTTTGATGTGAAAATGTTTATTATATTCAGAATGAGGACACTGATGTTTACTGAGGTACAACTATTCATTTTTAAGATTTTAGCACTGCTGTCGGGGTAGCAAAGAAATGGAAGAATAAACAGTGACGCATGAGAGGAGACGTTATGTTGCTATAAAAAAACAATCAAAGTTCTGCTGGTAACCTTGGTCTTGGTCCCTATACTTAAGGATTTGGACATTTGACCAGCTGGTCCTGTATTTTCTCTTTGCTTTACTGTCTACGCCACACAGCACCACTCAGACCACACAGAGTCCGACGTGAGGAGCAGCCACCTCTGAACCCCGTGTTAAAACTTCTATCTGGGCTTTGATCACAGCCTGACGATGAGTCTTATTTAATCCTGTCGACTGTGTTCTCCTGCAGGAGGGAGCAGCAAAGGTCTGAGTGAAGTGTCTGCTATCAGGAGAACCCATTTCACTCTTATGTTAAACACTGCTATTTGTATTCAGAGTTGAGCTGCAACACGGCAAAAAGGATCGTTTGAGGTCTAAATTAAGGGTGCAAGCATATGCGCACACACACGCGCGCACACACACACACACACACACACACACACACACGTCCCTGATGGCATGCCAACACATTCCCTCTCCACCGGTAAATAAAGAGGCAAAACAATAAGGTATTAAGGAAGAGAGGCACATTTATTTTCCTCTTCCTCCATTCTTTAACTATATATAATCCACACAGAGGCGGTAAGGTGAAGAGAAGGAGGTGTGAGGAAAATAATGGGGGGGAACGAGCATCAAAGTGGTGAGGGATGGGGTGGAGGGAGAGAGATGGGAGAGGAGAAGGATAAGTCTAGCCTACAGGAAGAGCTGTACTTGTTGGGGCATTGAGAGCGCATCTAATGGATATGGCAGCTAGGAGAAGGATGATGAATGACTCTGTGTGTTTGTGTGTGTGTTTATGTTTGTGTGTGTGTGTGACGGTGCAGATGATGGATTCTCTAGTGGAGCATGTGGTCGGAGGTTTCTTGGGCAGGCGAGGTGACAGGAGAGGTCTCTCTGTCCACATGCCACAGTCAGCCGGTCTGTCTATCCTTACTTTCTTCCTGCTGCCTTTCTCACTCTTCCACTCCCTCAATCTCTCCATCCATTTCTCTCCTTCCCTTTGCCTGTTTATCCATCCCCTTTGGTTTTAACCAAGCGTCTACCTCAAAACTTACTTCGTCAACAACACATTTTCACATTAACCCTGAGTAGACGAAGCACTGTGTTGCGGGAGGTGTGCAAAAAACATCTAAATGCCTAAATGTCATTAATCAGAAGTCGGCCTTACTGTAATACATGTTAAACTTTGTCTGACATCCAAGAGCCCTCTCCTCTCCTGACATTCATCAATATTACCACGCAGCTTATATGTTTGCTTGCACATGCTGCTTTTCCTGCGATTCTCCTTTCGTCACTGCAGGCCTTTCCTGTTTATCCATCCGTTGCCCCTCTGGCCTCTCTCAGCTAGGAGTGTGCTAGCCAGCGCTCTCCCCGTGTCTTGCAGATGGGCGCACTAATCCGCTAACATTAGCTCTGTGAGGCGTGAAGGATGGGCCCGTGTGTTGTTTTGGATGGGCATGGAGGCTGTGGTTTAGCGCGCTAGTGTTTGGGATTCTACACAGCTCCGGTTGAGAGAAGAGATAAAGGGGAAAGTAATTGGATAAAGGTTGACCAATTAATAAAGGCCGGTGATTCAAGCCGGCCAACAAGGGGGGGCTTTAATCTGCACTGAGATAGCGGGGAGAGTCAGACCACAAACACAAGGAGATAGGGGTGGAACTGTGTGTATTTCTGCATTTATGTGTGTGAGGCTTCAATCAGATAAAGAACAGGTATGACTGTCAGTCACTTGGGAGTGCAGTGGATTTACATCCATAAGTCCATTGAGAAGATATGCATTTGAAAGCACTTTTCTGTGCCTCCTAATATATGCAAGACTGTGTTTAGCGAGTATAAGAGAGTGAAAGAAAAGAGAAAAAGCACAATGAAAGCATAGCAGCGCTGTGTGTCCATCACTAATATCCTTGTATACACTCCAGCAGTTGACAAACACTTGTTATGCCTTGCGTGTCGCCCGCTGCAGCCGCCACTCGGCACGATTGATATTAGCTTTTATGTTAATGCAGCATTTGGCTATGTAAGAACAAGGCAGCATTTCCATAGACAGTCATTCATTCTGGGCCTGCTTATGGCCTTATGGACCACGACAGAATTATTTCTGCACGGTAAACAGGCTGTTGTCACTATGCCAAGAGCCACTACTACACATACAGACAGCAGACACACACACAGCAGGGTGATGTGAGGAAACCCTGAGGCGAAGGCCACAGAAGGTGCGAGGGTAAAAGTGTGTGTGTGTGTGTGTGTGTGTGTGTATAGCTGAGTGCAAATTATTCCTATGTTGCTAGAATTTGTGCTTGCATGTGGGGGAAAAAGAACCAAGCTTTCACTGTGTGATCAGCCACACTTATGTTGAGGGGAATAGGCATAAAAAGGACTGTTGTCAATATGAACGCAATATGGTGGAATCTGCGGAGTGAATCTTACCTCAGAGATGTTGACGCGTCCCTCCTGGAAAGAGCAGTCGTTGGCGTTCTGGGTGCACATGTGGCGGTACTTGCACCAGTGGCACGGGAATGAACCATTCACACAGGAGAGGCAGCTAAAGCAGAGAGAGAGATGAGAGGAGACGGTTAGTTGAATTTTTTATCTTGCTGCATCAATGCTTCACTTGACAAAGGCAAAACAACAGGGACAAAATGAGGTGGTGTCATATTGTAAAACGCATCTGTGCCCAGTAATATCTCATATTTTATGTGTTGAACGAAAGAAGAGGTCATTTTATTTTGTTAAAGTGCACTAAAATAAGGAATATATCTTTGGTTCCGGACTATTTAGAGCCAGCTTAGAGACATTTAAAGTTGATTTGTTTGAGATGTTTGAATAAGCAGTTACACAGTGTGGGAATCACATCGCCTTTCCCTCTCATTCGCTATATAGTTTGTCACCGGCTTTCCGTTGTATTGGGGGGAAAACGCTACTGCTTGTGATACAACACAGGATATACTAAAAAGTTAATACATATCCAACTGTGTTTTTTAAATCTTTACTCCCACGGTCTCATGTCTATTTATCATTCAATGTCAAAATTTGGACATTTTACAACGTTGTCTGGAATCCCCCCCCATCTTCCATCCCATCTATCAAGTGTCTCATCATCTTTCTCCCGCTCACTTCCCTCATTCATCACTCTCAACTCGCTTGTAACTGTCCATCGCTTGCTGCTTCTATATGTTCAATGATCTTCCTCACAATATTTCCTCTCTTCTCCCTCTTTCTATACTTCTGTTGTGTCATTCTCTCCATCCATTCAGCCCTGAGCCTTTCTTTCTGTCCCTCCGTCTCTGCCTCTCTCTCTCACCCTATCCATCCCTTTCATTTGCTGCCGTCTCATTTTTAAAAGCTCTCCCCCCGTTCTTTGTCTAAAGCTCTCTTTCATCCGTGGGGCTAAGAGCGCTCCACCATTTTAAATTCACCTGCTTTAGCTGAGGCGAGGTGCCGATAGACGGGCTGAAAGAGAAAGATGGGAGAAAGAAGAGAGTGAAAGAGAGAGGGAGAGAGATCAAAAGCAGGTGGATTTCCCTGAGAGAGGTTTAGACGCCAGGTATCGTGGGAGAGAGAGGGGGTAGAAAATAGAGATGGGGGGGTGTAGCCTGCGGGGCTCTGCTTGGGAGTCTCATGGGAGAGGGAGGAAGCATTAGGTTGAAAGTCAGAAAGTGTATGCAAGAGAGTGTGTGTGTGTGTGTGTGTGTGTGTGTGTGTGTGTGTGTGTGTGTGTATTTGCATCTAAGGGGATCCGTGGAGGAGAGCCAGACAGGTTCAAGTATGCAGTTTATCAACACAGCTCCATGTTATTGGTCCTCTATCAGCCCTAGAGAGATACTACACTTCTTTGTACCTCATTTATGTGCGCAGCATTATCTAATGTAACAATTATGAGCTTACAAATAAAATTGTTTCATTTTTATTACAAAGCTTACTGTAGATTCAGTTTCAGAATTTCTTCCTTTAGCTATTATGGTTTGTGTGAGCATATGGTTTATTGAGAATATAATATAATACTACACATAATACAGTCAAGGTAAGCAAGTCTGGATCCATAACAATAAAAGAGGCGGGTAGAGGTGCTTAACATACAGGCTGATTTGTATTCAACCACATCTGCCAGGTGTGAATTTGCGCGTCTCTCTCAAACCGCTATGAGCACACTCCCGACAAGCACTCAGTTGTGTTTTAACCCTGTGTAAAAATGCTAACAGACATTCCTCTCATCCGCATGAAAAATTAGGGCTCTAACTCTTGAGCACTGAAATGGAGCAAATACACGATTCCATCAAACCCTGACGTGGATTCATTTGGATCAATTAGGGCCGCTCGTTTGTCAGGTGCGCACTGTAAGTGATCGTTTCCAGCCCGGACCCCTCCTTTTTGAGCGAGATCAGAGGCTGGGGCTTAATTCAATCCCACTGCCGCTTTAATTGACCAATTTAGCATTGTGCTGAGAGAAGCTGTCCATTTACAATGAGGGATGTGCGGCTAAGGAAATAGCAGGCCTCTTAATACCACACGAGAGCAAATAGGACATTTGTCAATGTTGCCAACAAATGGAGGGACAGCGATTAAACTACACTGGGTTGGGTTAGCGTACAGTGCAAAGACTCAAACAGCAGAAATGGGGGTTTTAGCTCAATGTTGGACACGGAAGAAGGGTGTCAATACCGAACAAAAGAGCAGATGACATTACCGATGCAAGACAAATGAACACGTGGCAAGTTAGCTGAGCTCATTGTGGAGCTCGAGGGCGTTTGTTAGCTCGGCAACAATCACTAGTTTGAATGTCAAAGAGTCTTTTTTTCTTTGTTGGGGGGGCCCACCGATGGATCAGTGCTCATCAAAATACAGTACACCACCAACTTAACACAGCAGGTCACCAGAACCAAGCAGCGAACAGTACAATGTTTAGTTAGAAGATCACACCCAAACACATCTGTCGCTAAAGCCCTGGTAATAATCATCTCTATCTGGACTTTTATATTTTATTCATGTCAAATCAACCCCGTTAGTGTACCATTGACTTTGAAATAACGAGCAAAATATCAGCAGGTAACCGCTGCCAACTTTCTGTGACTTTTATGATTAGGGCCTTTGAAATAAAAGACGGTGCCATTACGTGTGCCACCCAAGGCCAACAGTAGGCCCTGTCTGACAACCCCCTACTGCTCACTCTTTGGTTCCTCGAAGTAAGCAGGGCCCCCCTGTCACGAGCTGCCTCAGGATCTCAAAATCTCTCTTTTAGCCTGGGTGCACACCGTTTTAAAGGAAAAGCCCACACAGGGCCATTAAGGGACGTTCGATTCAATTTTTTCCTTCTTGTCCAAGGGTGGGCTCCCTTTTTCAGAACCCCAAGTATCTCCTTATTCCTCCTTCCTGTCACTCACTCGCCATCGCCGTTAGCCACTCAGAAGCTTTGAGCGGCTGCAGACACGCTGCCCGTATGGCCACGCTCATCATGCTAATTTAATCCGTTCATATTCAGATGCTAATCAAGCTTTGGTAGCGGTAGTATTTTTTCAGGGCAGACACAATGGGCTATGATTTCCTCCTCTCTCCTTTCCCCGGTCAGTTTGGAGTGATAAATACAATCTGCTTTCCTAGTGAGGTGCGTTTGACACACAAAATGAGTTATTTATTGGCTACTATTCACTTCAAAGGAGTGGAGGTGAATAATTGAATGACCCTCTCTAGATAGTCTCACTTGTCATTACTGGATTTTTAAAGGAACAAAATGAAATCTAAATTGTGCAAGAACAGTGAAAGAATTCCTGCAATATTTGGAAAGAAAATACTTAAAATTCATTGTAGAATTCTTCCAAAACTCTTTCAGCTGCACAATTTGTCTCCGTTTTACCCTGGATCCAAAGCTTTTCACATTCTTCTCCATCAAAGAAAACGACACTCTCTCTTGCTATGCACTTTATCTCCCAATTACTCTCAGAGCACCCTAAATCACACAACAAATGACCCATGTCACGGCCCGAGCCACATTAACCACAGCAAGAAAAGGTGCTCAGTGTGGCTTTATACAGACATTTAAACCCCAACTCATTGCCAGACTATCTTCCCTATCATTAATAAATGGGGGGGGGGGGGGATGTGGGATGAGAAAAAGCGTATGGAAATATTTAATTAAGGAGCAATCATGGCCTTGGGTAATTTTCTATTTCAATCTCGGAAATCCTTAAACTGAAACAGTGGGAATTCTAATTAGATTAATACCACTATGTAAATTTATGGCATTTTAGAAAAGGCAAGGGCCACAACATAATCAGTTGTGTAAATAAGCGGAAAGGGTGTGTGTTTTCTGGGATGGGGTTGGGCGTCAATATGTGAATGTAAACTATTCAGAAACATGAGCGGGTAATTCCAATGCTGTGCTCAGGCCTTGACTTCCAAAAAGCAGCGTTAACATTAGCAGTATATACAGTACTGTATGAATAAAAATAGATGTGCAGGAACAGCTGATGAATATTGTCTCTGCTCGGAAATGTGCGTGTTTTGAGAGTGTCACTCTGCATCCTTTTCCATGTAAAAGCCTTTATATTTTGAGTTTAAGCCCATGAAAGGAAAACTTGGCTCTGCAAAGAATGACCGAGCATCCTGGAAACAGGGTCTTTGCATGTGGCCGTGCGGGCCCGAAGTCATTACGCCAACAACATTACCAGTCTGATCTCATCAGACGCCACACACACTGACGTCCGGAGGGCACAGCGGGTATGCGGGCCGGAGTGCCAGCTCCAAATGGGATTCTTATCTCAGCATCTCTTGTCGCCATCAGAGTCGCTGCCGAAGATGCAACGCGCCGTATCTTTAACTTCATTAGAACGTGTCCATTACATCACTGGGCGGCTGTATTAGATCAGCCCAGGGAACGGATTTAATCAGAGTTCATTGGGGTAATATCTTCAAATGGCCGACTCTCTTGTCTGTGTCACTTCTCATGCATGTCTTGCACTTGGTCTGTGAGATCATTGCCATTTTAGAATCTTTTTTGTGACATCACATTTGAATACATCCATGAAGAGATTTAATTCTTTTTTTTTTTTTTTTTTTTTTTTTTTTTTAAAACTGGGCGTTTACTTTTTAAAAATGAAGCAATTTGTACTGACACGTCTGAATCAAGATGTACCCTCGGCAGTATATGGCGGTGGGAGTTAGAGCAAACATCACAGGGTCCTTATAGGAAATGAAGTAACTGGGAGTTGACACTGTAAACCACCACACCCTTAACCAGCTCAGCTAATCATCGTTGTCGTGGAAGGGGATTTTTCTCTACGGGGGCAGGTGGGTTAAAGGTCATAGTAACGGATTAGGTGTCCAAGACATTCAGGGCTTCAATGAGCTGTCAGTGACAGAGTGGAGAGAGAGGTGTGGCGGTGCATGTCTATGTGTATTTGCGTATGTGTGTGTGTTTGCAGACAATCCTCGGAGGAGGCTCATCTAACATCCAGAGGGAAGCCGGGATGGAGCCCCGCGGTACCCCAGGGGCCTCCAAGCCATCTGCTGCCCCTAGGCTAATACCCCAGCAGACGTTCAGCCTCCCCTGGATCAGCCGTGGATGGGCAGGAGGCAGGGTATCATGTGGGGCGGGGTGGAAGAGCTAGAGGATTCTTTTACCCCGGCAGGGTGCATTGGGTAGGACTGACCTAGGGGTGTGTTTCGATGGGTGGTGGAGATTTTTTTAGCAGAAGGTGGCAGTGAACTGAGATTGAGCAGAAAGCTGAGGGCGTCTGGAGTGTGAAGGAGACTAACTCTTTGAGAGAAAAAAAGCACAAGACTTAATTTAATATGTTACAGTGTTTGACTTTGTCTTTATTGTGTAAATAAGTACCAGACTGAGTAGCCGAGAGCTAAAATAAGCCGGAAGTATTTGTTTTCTATCAAGTGGAGAGGCATTAATGTGTTTAGAGTCTGTGATTGGGAGGCATTACGGCAGACCATCGCATAATGAATTAATCATTGGAGTATCATTAGTGTGTGTCGTGGGTTATGATAATAAGACTAGAATTACCATCGCATATCCCAATCGTTTCTCATATACGGTACGTTCGATTTTTAACTCAAATGGTAACACAAGCCTCCTGTGGAGGTCGGAAGGGGGGTGGGATGTGTGTGTGTGTGTGTGTGTGTGTGTGTGTGTGTGTGTTTCTATGTCTAAATGTATTTCCCATGGACAGCAACATGAGGCAGCCCACGGGGAGACAGGACAAAGAGACAATCACTTTAAAGAACAAGAGAGAAAAGACTGAAATAAGACCCCAAAAAAAAGAGCAAATGACTAATGTACCCAAAAATATTCAACCATTGTAACTTACGACTGGTGGACGCTGCAGTTGTAGAAGACAAAGTCGACGTCGGCAAACTTCTTGCCCGTCTCCTTGGACTTCAGATAGAGCTTCACTACCCGCTTGTCACCTGCACCAAACGGATACATGAACACAAAATGAACATGACCAAACAGCTCAAAAATACCTAACAGCTACATTTAATCACACGGAATATACAGTACGTGACAAATCATCGACACAATGTCACCTTTTAAATTTGAATTCCACTTGTGTGACCTCAGCAGATACCACGCACACACACAAAGAAACACTGTAGCTTAGCAACACAGCGCTCATGTCACACCCACAGTAGGGTGGCATTAAAAATAGCAGCACCAATCAGTGTTTGGTTGCCAGAGCTGATTAGAACTCATAATGGGGCATAATGGGCTCAGTTGAAGAACTACTGAGTTGTCACTTTGAGGAAACTTACAGCGTACCGACATGTTTTCAGTGCTTTGAATGTGGATACCAAACAAGTTCTTATCATTAGTGGCTTGACAGAATTGGACATAAAACAGGTGCAGAATCTCTGCAAACAAAAAAAAACATGCAGATATTTTTAAATCTAACAAAAACCACACTGAAGTCACTGCTTTGAAAAGAAGCAAGGAGCATAACCAGTGTCTTCAGATAGAAAAAATAAATAAAATGAAACTGACAACAGTGCATAATGCATGATAATGGGAATTCAAAAACAGTTCTATTTTCAGTAGATAAATGTAGTCTTGTGTTCAGGGCTTTGAAAGGGAATGGCTGAGCGTTATTAGTGGTGACAAGGTATTCTGAATATAGACGCACTAAACAAATCATCTGGTAACATTAAAATTCTGTTCTCGCTTTCCCCGAGTCTAACGTACAAAAAGACCGCTTAGGAGGAGACACATTGGCCCATGGTGATGAACATACAGTATACAGTGAAAAGAGGTAGAGACGACATAAACATAAAACATGTCAAATGGAATATGGATTACCAACATAAAAATAATTCAGTACTAATCTCCTCAAATATACCACCAAAACTCCTCATAACCACACCCTACCCACCCGCCACTACCACCCAGTGACCTCACTACCGCGATGACTTCATCACCCTTCGCCCCTTTCCTGTGCCGACCTTTGTTCCTTGTGATCGGGATGATTTCCCGGACTGAAGGAGACAGGCAAAAGATGAGTCCACCCTGGATCCGTCCCTCCGTCTCCACGTAGTCCTCGAAGGAGCAGTTGACCCCCGCTGAAAGATCAGGCACGTTACGAGCCTGGAGGACCAGCTAGCGAGAGAAAGAGAGAGGGACAATCAGTACAAGATCAATGGAAGGACATGGTGTACATGGATTGTTATAAGATATGACATGAGGGTTAATGGGTGTTGGGGAAGGGAGGTGTGTTGGGGGGGGGTGGTGGAGTGAAGCGTGGGTATGAGTACATGTGACAGCAGCAGGAATAAAGGAGGGTGAGTGCGTATCTTGTGTGTATGCATGTGTGCGTCAGTCGGAGCAGCTATTACAGCAAGGTTAATGTGTCCGTGTTAATGTGCAGAGTGAAAGTGAGGCAAAGCGCAATCAGTCAAACCTATGTGGTTACATTGAGGAGCTGCTGACAGAATGAGAGCTCTCACGCACTCACGCCTGCAGATTTCCATAATATAAATGACAAGACCAAGAAAAGCTCACTTCTGGCTAAATCTACAAGTAGAGTTTCAGCTGCATCCTTGGTGATAAACGTTGTGACTTTTACACGAGTTCTCACCATCACACTTGACTTCACTGATGCGAGTATGTATGCCAAATATATATATGTGGACAATAGATGCATAAAGCTAAGGCTCTATCAAAAGGAAAGTACAGTCAGATCTTAAGTAGCAGGTGGAAACGAATCATGGCACCATAGTGTTTGTTTCGGACAACAGCAGGCTTCTCAGAACTGGTCCAAGACCTTTTTAGACCGTTTTATTGTTTAACATGTATCCACTACAATTGGGACTATAGGCAAGAGAAGACATACCTGGACTTCAGACATGGTGACGGAGATATTTCTTGGCTGAACGGTGAGCTCCACACACTGCCTCTGGTCGGAGGCAAACCTCTGGGGCTCTCCTGCTCGTTCACACCGGTCCTTACGCGAACAACTAGGGTGCAGCAGCAAAAAAAAGGAGGAGAAAGAGAGGAAGGGAGGGGAAGAAAATGATGAGATAAAAAAGATGGGTGAGGAGAGGTGAGAGGAAAAAAGGAGGGGAAGAACAGATGAGAGAGACGAGAGGTGAGGGGAGGGGGGAGAGAGAGAGAGAATATGAGCCACTGTTAAGCTAATATGGCAATCATATTAAGATGACAAACATGCACGGCCATCACCGTCATACAGAGATGGGAGCAATAACGGAAGACAAATAGGCTAATAGCTACCCCAGCCATTACTGTAGGCCTTTACATCATTACCTTATTGGCCCTGACATTTGTGCAAGAACCGCTAAGCTATATGAACATCCACTCCCCCTCATCTTTTCGGTTTACAGCGCCTAACTTCTAGGGAGATATACAGGCAATCATTAAAGTTTCCCTGAACCGTAAAAATGATACAATTCCTACCCGCCGCATATCAATGGGGTCAGCAATTTCCACTGCTTATTACGAGCCAACTGATCGTGCTAAAAAATCAGCATACAGCCCCGTATTGTGGCGGTTTTACTATTAGCTATTCATAATGCATTAGCTATCACTTCACCTTCGCGCTAACAACAACGGGTCCCGGTGGTGAGAGGAAAGTGCTGATGTGGCGCTCCGCGAGGCCTTAACAATAAGAGAGGCAGTGAAAAAAAAAATGCTAACTGCCTCCTGTGAGCAGCAGCCCCCCCATCCCCTCGTTTAGTTAGCCTTCACTCGAGCTCAGCAAGAAAAAGCTGTCGCCAACCACTCCCCCGGGAGTCACACACGCACACAAAACGCACACTGTACAGGCACACGTAGAGATGCACAAAGGTATGTACACGTTTTCTCATTATGGACCTCTTTTCCTTCTACTGCTCCTCTGGTGTGTGACTGTGTGAATTCGTTGAAATGAAGTGTGCTCATTTGTCTAGAAACACCTGCATGTGTGTGCGTGTATTTGTTTGTGTGTTTTCCTCATTCAATTTCACTGCTGATTGAAACTACCATGGCTCTTAATAAGATCTGGCTAAAAGCACCAGAGGGCTGAAACGAGGCTTATAAATAATTTGCCTATTAATACCAATTTGCCTGCAAGGGCCTCTGCCAGATTTGGCAACACTATCAGGTAAGCAAAGAGCGAGCCGCATTCAAGACACAAGGTCAAACTGTGCCCAAACAGAAGGATATCGCTGGATCAAGTCCATCATAATTGTGTGCGTAATTCAAAAGATGTGTGTGTGGAGGATAAAATGGAGACACAGGTGGTATATGTGTGTGTGTGTGTGTGCCTTGAGGAAAGACAGGTTGGTGATGTGTTTTTATAAGTTTCATTAATGTACAGAAAGATGGCATCATGCCAAATACTGTACTGTTCTCACACTCTCCTTTGTGCATACACACACACACCCTCAAGTCAAAGGGAGGAAATGGAGAGATTACATACGGACACAGTGTTATTATGCATCACTCACTACACCTGTGAGTGACTATTTCATTTCTAAACATAACTGCAAATCTCCAGTCTCTCTGTTACAAATCGAATCGTATACAGTCATCTTAAAAAGACCTAGCCCGCAAACCAAACACTAACACTAGAAGTGACTAATCCTTAATCTGTTGCCATCTAGTTCCCACGGAAGTACCATGTTCACAACACACACACACGCACACAAAAAGAAGGTAAATTCCACTAAGATAAGTGATGCAGGCTGCCAAGCTGTGTTTATTTATGTGCTATTATGTGCTATTAACCAGTTGACAGACTTCAACGGGATACATGTAGCACTACTGCCAAGGAGCTTTCAAGTTGTAGAAGTTAGATTTCTTCTATGAATCATAATTAGGCCTAATTAAAAGGTGTTAGAGGCACTTTACTCAAGTTATTACAAGGTTTTAAAAATAGTTCCTGAGGTCAACACATTCAAAGCAGCAACTGGCTGCCTGTGCAGTGTTCAGGTTCTCTATTCACTCTGTTGTTCAACTTTCAGTGGCACATTTACATGTATAGCAATCGTGTTTCATGTCGATCAACACCTTCTGAGGTAAAGAGAAAGAGTTAGTTGTTTAAAGGTGTGGTAGTTGATTTAACAGTACATCAACGATCACATTTTAATGCAGCTCAGGACGCGAAGGAGCCTGAGAAATGCTCATTTAGGGTTCAAGTTTGAAGCCATCTGTACAATTGAATTTCAGAAGATGGTAGTTCTGACTATCATGGTCTCTCTTATATTCAGCAAGTTAAACTGCAAGTCTTTAGAAGTCATAATTAAAAGTAACTACAGACATCTTTACAGTTGTAGACACCCACAAAAAGCCCTGAGGCCAGACCACAAATGTATCCACGGTCTCCATTCTCTAAAAAAAACTTTCAGAAAGAAAATGCCCCCCATTGAGTAGAGATTGTGCCGATTTTTATTTTTTTACGTGTATTGCTCCTTTCCGCCCTACATTCATCAACTTGGAATATATTAAAGAAAAACTAAGAACCAAACTTCCCTGTAAACAACAAGAACTGGAGTATCTGGGGTGACAAAAGGCTACTGAGCTTCATGTGTATACCATTCAGGTGGGTGTTTTTCACTCCAACTTGATCAGCTGACACACACCTAAAACACTTCTTCACACAATTATCAACTATACAATGCAATGGAAGGGTATCGGGATGAAGTGTGCTAATGAGTGCATGAGTGTGTGTGGTACTTACACATTGTGGAGGACACACCATCCACAGTGAGGGTCTCTGGAGCCCAAACACTCCCCACAAGTGGTGTACTGCTCGCAGCTTTCCACTGGAACTCTCACCACCTGGAGACAAAGAGAGAAACAGAGAGACAGACAAAGACAAACAGAGAGACAGAGAGAGAGAGACAGAGAGACAGAGAGAGAGGGTAAGAAGTGATGAAAAAATAATTAGCATCCTCGTCATCAAACCATTAAAATGAGCAGTATATTCGGCTGGATAGAGATGAGCATTTGACAGCTTATCAGACTGATTCAATTTCAGCAAACTGTCAGAGTGTGTGTTTGTGTGTACCTCCCTGAGACTAAAAGAGAGCTCGTCCGTGAGAAGTGTGTGTGTGTCTTTGTGCATGCGTGTGTTCTGGTGAGCGATTTTGGTCCAGCGGTGTGTGACAGCCTCCAGTGAAGCGTTTACAGGAGAAGCCTCGCAATGCATGCTGGGACACCTGACAGGTGGCTGTCGCAACGATACTGTGATTGACGGGTGACCTCAAAAACCATTGGGAGGCAGAGGAGCAGAGGGACAGACCCCCAGTGTGTGTGTGTGTGTGTGTGTGCGTGCGTGTGCGTGCGTGCCATTCACTGCCACACTGGATGTTCGAGCTTGGTGTGGCTACAGATGTTGCCTAAGAAACTAGATCAAGTGTTTAAGTTAGCCCTCCACTCCTGCTAAAGGTGATGACAGACGGTTCACAACAAGGCCCCAATGGGTCAGAAAGTGTGTGTGTGTGTGTATTTCAAAATATCCACGAGAGATGTGAGTGTGTTTAAGTGAGTGACAGACAGATTGCTAGCATATGCGCGGAATGCTAGTGTGCAACAAAGCAGGCACGTGTTTTTGCGCTTTTGTGTGTGCACGTGTTGAAAGTGTCAGCGCCACATTCAACTTTTCTTCACCACAGGGCCCCAAGTTGATGAGTTGCTTGATCCCTGTTTCATGGTGTGTGTGTGTGTGTGTGTGTGTGTGTGTGTGTGTGTGTGTGTGTGTGTGTGTGTATCAAATTGCCACAGACAGCAGGCTAGTTTTAAATCATGCAGCAGATAGTGAGCCGTCTGATCAGTAAGTAACAGCATTTAACAACCCTACCCTTGGGTAACACTGTTATAGCGTGGACACACACACAGATTTAACCATGAGAACCCCTTCCAAGTGGTACGTGGGGACTAAAGTAGTGACTGCACTGCAGGGGACTGACTTTTTTTATGAGGTATGGAAGGGGAGAAACGGAGGGGTGTATGGAGGGATAAGAGGACAAAAAAAGTGTCAGAAAGAGAGCAGAGGCCTGAGGTAAGAGATAAAGCTGGTTAGCTGCAGGATGGAAATCAGGCAGACAAAGGAACGCAGCACTGAAATATTAAACTGGGGCCAGGATTCCTCCGTGAGCTTTACGTAAAACACAGATATGAGATGGATATGACATGATGGAACTCATTTATGCTATGAAAAGTGTTGTATCAGCCTGGCCTTGGGGCTTTTTGACGGAACAATACCGCTCAAGCAGAGGGTAGACTGACAAAAACACTTGACACTGTGAGCCACTAATCCGCCTTTTCTTTCTTTTCCGTTTCCTTCATTCCCCACTATACATTTGGTTATTTCCATTACTCTTTATGTTCCTTCTGCTTCTTTCTCAGCCCCACAATCTCCATCCTTCTCTGAGCATCTCATTCATTCATTCTGCAAACCCCAGTACAGTAGCTTTCTTAGCTGGCTAGCTGCCCAGAGAGAGAAAGACAGATGAAATGATGTAAACAAGCGATGGTGGAGACCAGAGGGGGGAGGAGGGGGGAGGTGGTCATCTACTGGAAGAGCTGCTGTATGGATGAATAGAGGGAAAGAGAGGTGTAATGGAAGACACACACGGGCCGAATTGGCATGGACATTGTGCTGAGTAGATGGGATATGGTGGCAGACGGCTGCTATGCGTCATTGTCAGAACAAGTGCAAGTCTGAAAGAAGGGCTGAAAAGAGGGATGGAACAAGGGTCTTTGACAATAAAAGGATGACAGAGGGGAAAAATGACTGTGAATGAATGAGCAGATAATGGAAAAGTGGAAGAGGCAAAATCAGCTTTAGTTGAGGACATGTGATCGGACACCTTGGGAGAAAGAAATCATCACAGGACTTCTTCTCAAATAATTCATGATTTAACAAAAAATTAAAAAAAAGAGTAAATGGAGAGAATGCGCAAGAATGGCCAATTCCCCCTCATGTTCTCCATAAATCATTATGACTGTGATTAAGGACAATGGTTCACATAAATCATACTAACACTATGGGTCTTTGGTGAGCTAGCATAACCTTATCACTGCCCTATGTAATGATAGATATGGTCCATTGTTCACAGTTGTTCCCATACTAGTACTAGTGACTACACTATGGGCTCTATTCAGAGGGAGTGGTGTACAGCTGTTGATGTGGTGGGGGGCTATGATGGTTGTTTTTCCCAGTGGGGATATAAAATACTTTACTGGAGCCGGGAATGTTCTTGTATAACCGCATGCAGATCCCAAAAATATGTGCCGGCGTGTGTGTTGGGAATACTGCTTACCCACAGACACACATCCGCACACTCCCGCTCCGTCTGCCTCTCGATGGCTCTTTTAATGAAAGCCAATTCTCGAACAGTGTGCCACATTACTCCTTTAAATGACCTTATAAACCAAGGCCGCCATCTCCTCCTCTCTTGCCATCTCCTTATCTACAATAGCATCCACCGCTGTAACTCAATTCTGCTTCCCCGCTCTCTCTCTCTCCCCCCGTGTTGTCAGCCCTCCACCCTGACCATATCGCAATGCCATGACATCTCCTTTCAGCAATAAACTTTCCACCTTTCCTCTCCAATCTGTTTTTACAGAGCGCCATCACCTGCCTTTAAACATCCTGCTAACAGGCTTTGCGACGGTCACCCCCCCCCCCACAAAACCCGACGGACCTGTAAAGCTTTCAGCGCGGCTTTTCATTGGCTGTTAAATCTACAGATATAAAAAGGATCAGCCTTGTTGCGACTTCCTTTTTTTTAACATTCAAACACAGGGGGAGTCTATAGTAGAGGAGAAGGGGGGGGGGGGGGCGTCGCAGAGATGTCTACCAGAAGAGAGCCACTCGTATGTGTTACACTATCTGGGAGCCAAGAGGAAGAAATCTCAGTTTGTTTTCAGTTATTTTTAGATATCTGCATGAGACTCTGCATCAGTAACACAGCGTGCCTCCTTGAACAACTATCACTGAACCTCTTGTGCTCAACACTTAACCTCATATGGTTCTAACCCCACAGCTGAGGGACAAATAGGAGTGAAATTTGGTTTAACTGTGCAGTGTCAATTTAAGGAAAGAGCACACATACAAAGTCAGCTTTTCTGAGATGCATTTTAAAAATGTATTTTTGTGGACAAAAAAATCAGTTTCCAGAGAAAAATTCGGAAAAATCTCATAAACTTGTGGCTCTTTTATTGCTAGTCTCCTTTCATCCAAACCTTACTCTGTAATCTTAACTAGCTGTGGTTGAGCAGAAAAGAGATTCAAAGACTCCGATTTAAACTAAAAATGACATTTAACTGACACAAGGAGCAGACAGCAAGGGGAGGAGGATGAGGAGGAGGAAGAAGATGAGGAGAGGTTATCACCTGTCATCTTCCCTCCATCGCCTCCTCTCTGTAGACTGGCATTAACCACACCTGCATTATCTCAACAACCGTCAATCATCTTCCATCTTCCCGTGGTCTAATCTTTGCTGGCAGTGAACAACCATGTGCACACAAATAATAATAAATCAATACCTACCAACATAGCCACTAAATGCCTCAGAACAACAAAGAATAGAAATGGGAGTTCTACCCAGTAGTGGTCTGGCTATCCCTGAGGCGTAGTGCAGAAACATGTCTCTCAACAGGGTCTCCATGTAAGTGTTCGTTCTTCCAGGGCTACAATACCTGCTCAGGGGGGGTGTTGTATCAAAGGCTGGGTTAGCATGTGTGCATTGACTGGATTGTAAGGGGCTTAGGAGATCAATGACTGGCTAGGAGCTCGATGTGTTGACTGATTGGAGATAAGCAGCAAAGCAAACACGACTCTGAGAGTCTGGCACCGAAAAAAGGAAGGAGAGGTGCTGAAGTACGGGCGGAGAGAGGGAGGAAGGGTAAAGGTTGCGTGGTCGGAGCAAATAAAAACTGAGAAACAGCAATCACATCATTGTCTTCCATCAAAAAAAATCATCTGTTGTTAGATTCAATTTGCTGACTGGTGTCCTAATACTAAATTGCTGTTACACTGTAGAGATGTTATTGACAGATCTGGCCATTGTGGTCAACCCAAATTGTTTGCGGGAGACCTGTTTTAGTGAATTGGGTCTTTATGTGTCAGTGAAAGAAAATAGTGCCCACTGTGATAGCTGCAATCTCTTGTTTTCTCTCTCAAAACTCACTCCCTGCAGTATGCTTTGCTCCCACTGTCCTTCCTGCCTCCTTCGCTATCTTTATCTCTCTCATATTGCGTTTTGCCTGCTGTTTCTCCCTCCCAATGAGCTCTCCCTTCTCTTTCGCCTCTTCAATTTATCTTTTCTATCCTCTTTCTCCTGCACTGGGCTCAATTATTCATCCGCATTGTTTTTCCCTCTTCTGAAATACTGTTTTGATCTCTTCTTCTGTACTCCATCCCAGTGAAAACAAGAGGCAGATCAAACAGCTTATTTATTTGTCCTTTGTGTGTGCTCATATCGTGAGTTCAAGGCCAATGAAGATGACGACTCAAATTCCCCTTTCCTAGGAGACTACTCTGAGACAACACACACACACACACACACACACACACACACACACACACACAGCAGCTGTAGGACTGCTCTCTGTCACAGTGTAGGTGTGTTTGTAAGCACCTTAAAAACTAACATAGAAGCACCTTCACATAAGTTAAAGTGAGTAAAGTGTCCTTTATAATGTTTAATTATTATGATATTTGTGTATTATGTGCTGAATTGCTGAAGCAATACCATCTGAAAAAATGACCTTAAGAAAAGACCAAAGAATTTGATCTTTTTCCAACAGAACTAGAGAGAAAAAGAAAGGGAAATATGGAAAAAACTGCAACAGTTAGGACTGGCTACACAAACAAAATCAAGAGAAAACCTAGTGAGTAAAAAAAAAGGGTATTGAAAAATAAAGATGTGAGACCTCATCAGTCATCACATGGACATCCCCATTAACTCCTCCAAAGAAAGCTAATCTTAAACTATAAGTCAATACACTTTCTCCCTCTTTGTGTAGCCATTTGTCCATAATACTGTGTCCCTCAAGAAAGAGAGAGAGCCTGATAGAGAGAGAGAGAGAAAGTAGAATGAGACAGCAAAAGTGGAAAACTAAGACAGAGACAAAAGAGCAGACAGAGATTGAAAAAGCGCAGAAAACAAAGAATTGGAACAAAGACTGTAGAGAGAGAGAAAGAGGTAAATGTGACCAGCTAAGGTAGACAGGCCTAGGGGTCTTCTAATTAAGTGAGGATGGGAGAGGCCGGCGGCCTGGTAAATGACTCTGTCACTTTAGTAAATGGACTTGGTGAGGAGTGAGGAGCCACACAGCTGGCATTTCCATTAGCACTGCCAGGCGACCCACCACCATATACACAGACAGAGAGAAGCAGAGAGCGAGAAAGGGGGGGGGGAGAGAGCGAGAGAGAGGAAAGAGAAACGCCGCTATACTTTATTTGCTCTCACAGGAGTCACATGTGTGAAAGTCATGCCTGGTAGGTGCATGGATGGATTATGATTGTGGAGAAAACTGAGCAGAATAAACTAAATCTGTGTGATTGACTCAAGATTACTGCCAGCAAGCTTTACAGAAGCTTTTGAAATATTACAATGAGTTAATTGAAAATTAGATAATTGGTTGAAACACAACAAATATGCATTTTAACAAAGCTACATTAAAAACAAATCCAGGGACGCGAAAACTGTTCGATCTCATTAATGTTTGTCATGGTTTTCCATGACATCAGCTAATGTTGTGTGAAGGAAAGTTGTACATACAACCGTGTTTCAAGTGAGAGAAAGACAATTGACATTATGGTTATTATTAGTGTTGAAACATTTAGTCAACTACTCAATAAGGAAGAAAATTAAAGTAGTGGTCCAGCAATATATTATTGCAGAATGGTCCATATAGATGCAGCAGCGGAACAGATGTCCTGACTTTTAGTCTCTATTTTGGATCGAGCTTAAAACATGCTGGATCCCATATTTCCCTGAACGCAACTAAACAACAGCTTTCAGTCTTTCAAGCTTCTAGTTTGTAAAGCTTTCCAGAACAAAATGTAAGTCTCCAAGCCAGAGTGAACACAACCCCTACGACGTCATCTGGGTTATTTTCTCATATTTGAGAAGTCTAGAAAATAAGAGAAAGAAGACTTTACACGTCTGTTTTCACATGCTGAATAGAACCCTCATGGTGACTAAGCTGATCAATTATTGTAAGATCATTAAACCAAAAATGGTCAACATTTGCCTGGTCAAACTTCTCAAATGTGTGCATGTGCTGCCAAACTGAATCTCTGTAGGTTTTAGACTGTTGGTTGAGCAAAACAAGCACTTTGAGGACGTCACCGTGGGGTTTTGTTTTCACATTTTATAGACAAAAAGATAAATTGAAAAAATGTATAAATAAATAAAATAATTAGTTATGATGTCTAACCGTCTTTCCAATTGTATTTATCAGTGTCATGTTCTTTCCTTTTGCGATATCTTATTTTACCGCCTGAGTTTTTCCCCATTTGATGCTTTTTAACTCGGCCTGAAGAGGCCTGCTGTGCATGGCTTTGAAAAGAAATGTGCGACACTTCATCGTTCTATCAAGTGTGGCTGGTTGTTAAGGCACAAGACTGAATACAGCGATGTGCCACTTGGAGCAGCTCCGCGGGCCATGCCAGCTTTTGATTGGCCTCATCCAATGACAGTCATTCAGAGCCACCTCTTTCCGCCCCAATCACTGTCAAGCAACAAGAGGACCAATTGCACAGCCGATTGATAATGATTGAGAAGAAAGGGGAGGAGGGGGAGATGGTGGGAGTGAAAAACCATTAACCTCCCTATCCATCTCGCCCTCTTTTCTAACCCTATCAGTCTGCTCTATCACGCCATCCTTTGGGAAAAGACGGCAGAGTAAAACGGAGGGAGATGAGAGAAAGACAGAGCTATCTAGTGACAGCTAGACTTCCATTAGGACTGATAGCATCACGCCAAAGACAAGTGTCTGAGCACACTTTTCTGATGAGGCACGCACACATTCAATCAAGTACACGCTTTTTTTTCCCCTTCTTTTTAAGGGAAAAAGCACAAGAGACAACGATAGGACAGGAAAAGAGGAAGTGCGAGAAAAGGAAACAAGAGAAAAAGAGAGCGAGAGAGAAGTGAAGTTTGAGCTATTAAGAGACATGGAAACCATTCCTCCATGGCTAATGATGGGGTCTTGGTTAGTCTCCTCACATATCTGCCACTGTTAGAAGGAATTAGCATCACTTTTCACTGTTTTTTTTGTTTGTTGGTTCCCTTCTTTCATCATGTCACAGAAAGGAAGGGCATAGGGCTGCAATTAACAATCAATTATAGATTATTTTCAATTAACCAGTTCATTTTTCGCACTACTTTTAGAA